CATAAACAACAATTAAACAGAATTATTATTATTATTTTTCATTCTGAATATCTATACTTTTCATTTCTCAATTGCCAATAGCAACTTAGATTTGTGATGATATTATTATTATTATTATTATTACTTTGTTTGTTTAATTTTTTCCCCCTTGGAACTAGAGCCCCAGTGGGCCTAGGCCTACCTCCATGAACTTCTCCGTTCACTTCGGTTTTTCTAGATCTTACACATTCGATAGGACTCCTTGGGCGGGTGATCAGCTCGTCGCAAGGCCTCTACCTGTACACAAACACAGAAAAACGCACACACACAAACTAAACATCCATGCCCTGGGTGGGATTCGAACCCACTATCCCGGTTTCCAATAGAGCGAAGACAGTTTGTTTAATTATATGCATTAATTTGTTTTCCTCCAGTATTAACCTTTGTGTTTATAAGTGTCGAGTTTAGATGCTTTATATTTATTTTGTGCGAGTGTGAAGATGCCCTCCGTTTTGTGGTATTGTTCACGTAGCTGCAAAGTCTGTTATTGTTTGGGGTATTTTTACCCCCTCCGGAAGAAAACAATCCGAAATTGATGATTTAGAGACTGGAAATTTAAAATAGGTCAAGTGAGACCATTTAAGTATCTTGGGGCAATAGTTAATGAGGATAATTCAATAGAAGAAGAGATCAAGGAGAGAACAGCACTAGGAAATAAGTAATGTTACTCATACAAAAGTATGTTCCAAAGTAAATTAATTTCCAGACGAGCAAATTGAAACTATACTGGTCAGTGGTCAGACCAGTAGTTACTGTGAAACCTGGGTACTGAAAGAAAATGAAATCAATAAATTACTGGTTTTGAGAGGAAAATTTTAAGAAAAATTTCTGGCTCAAGTAAAGAAAATTTTAGCTGGCGGATGAAAACAAATCAAGGATTAAATCAGTTAATCCGCTATAAAAATATAATCATTTTTATACTTGCACAAGGACTTTCATAGCTTGGCCACGCAAAGCGAATGCCGATCAGCAGATCAGTTGAAAGCCTGCACTCATGGAAACCATTAAGTACAAGACCAGTGGGCAGACCGAAAATGCGATGGGAGGAAGATGTTAAAGCCGACATTGAGAAGATGAAGGCACCAAATCGGAAGATAACTCTCCAGGACAGGACCAAGTGGAAAGATGTGGTTGAGAAGACCAAAACTCCGCGTCAGTTGTAGCGTCAAAATAAAAGAAGATTTTTATCCCCGACGTTGTAAGACTTTATTATATCATGTCAGCGTAGCCCCCCTTGTTGTGAATTTGTTCTCGTAAAAATGCAGAAATTCCTGGAGCTGAGTTTCAAATGCATAATTCCTTAAATGCCCTGTCCCTGTCTTGATTTAAGCCATTGTTGCCCAAACATATTTTCTAAAGCTTGGCCCTGTATTTGTTGTATTTCCTTACGATAACAGTGTTTAAATTTGGGATTTCGGAAACCGGAACACGAACATTACTGATACTGCATTTCCTATTTCCGTCCCACGTCACCAACAAAATACACGTAAACCAAAAATAAAGAAAAATTGACTGAGATTCGAGGTTCACACTGCGGTGCTTCTTAGGTCGCCCACTTTCCTTTGATACTACACGAACCACATAGGAAACGACCAGTCCAACAATGTTATTGTTGACGCGTGTGTATTCGTTACAGCGGGAACGTGTTTGCAGAGCCGTTGCCTAGCAACAATGGGGGTGATTATGCATACAGAGGCAGAAAAATCATTTCATAAGCATAACTATTATTTTTAAACGACACTAAATCACATTTAATTTACTGAAATGTTCGTTGAATGTTTAAAATGTCATTAAAATATATGTACATTGTAAATTGTTGCATTACAGACGGAAAAAAAAGACTACAAATGGTACCTCAATGCAACAGGATGCTGAAATATAATATTATAACTTTTATGTTTTCAAAATAAGTAAATTATTCTAAAAATAATATTTTACATCAGTGACGTTTAGAAGATATTTTGTTCTGATGCGACTTACGTCTCCAGAATGATGTTTGAGCCACCTAGCGTCTGTCCAGGTGACTGACAGTAGAAATCCACGTTGGACGGAAGGGCGGAATGTTAATTCACCTTGGTGATAGCGAAGGTAATGCAGATGGTAGTCGCAATTGGGTGATGGGGAGCGGGCCATGCCGGTCACGGTAGCCGAGCGGTCTGAGGCATGTACTGTCTTCGCTCGCTTGGAAACCGAGATCGTGGGTTCGGAGCTGTTTCCTGTGAGGTACGAACTGAGTTCTTATATATTATTCTTATACACTGCCGGTCACGGTAGCCGAGCGGTCTGAGGCATGCACTGTCTTCGCTCGCTTGGAAACCGGGATCGTGGGTTCGGAGCTGTTTCCTGTGAGGTACGAACTGAATTCTTATATATTATTCTTATACACTGCCGGTCACNACGGTAGTCGAGCGGTCTAAGGCATGCACTGTCTTCGCTCGCTCAGGATCGTGGGTTCGAATCCCACTAAGGACTTGGATGTTTAGTGTTTGTGTATGCGTGTACGTTTTCTGTGTTTGTGTACAGGTAGAGGCCTTGCGACGAGCTGATCACCCGCCTAAGGAGTCCTACCGAATGGGTAAGACCTAGAAAACCCGAAATGAACGGAGAAGTTCATGGAGGTAGGCCTAGGCCCAGAGGGACTGTAGTGCCAAGGGGGGGGGGGGGCGGGCTACAGCGTAACTTGGAATAAGAAGCCACGGGGGAAGGAACAGCCTTGTTTCTTACCTTTAGACCGTCAGATCTACTGATATATTACGATGACTCTATTTTAAGGCTAGTTTTTATGTTGTATACAATTTTCAGAATTGTTTGCTTTTTATTTCTAGCCTCCCTCCCCTCTCCACTGCCCCGATATAATAAAATTAACTTTTTAAGGTTATTCTTTACGAAATTGAGAAATGTTTTAAGCGGCCGAGTGAAATATCCGAATCTCTTTTCAGTTTCATCGTGTAACTGTTAGATGGGTACAGCCCCAATTTGGGCCTTGGCCTACCTCCATGAAACTCTCCTTTTTTTCGGTAGGACTCCTTGGGCGGGTGATCAGCTCGTCGCAAGGCCTCTACCTGTACACAAACACAGAAAACGTACACGCATACACAAACACTAAACATCCAAGTCCTTAGTGGGATTCGAACCCACGATCCTGAGCGAGCGAAGACAGTGCATGCCTTAGACCGCTCGACTACCGTGACGGACATGTTCATTTAGTTAACAGAAAATAAAACAGGCTGATGTTTTCTGTGGAATCGGAGCCATGTGGTCTGTTAGACACAGCGGCAATTCCTTGCGCAGTACAGCCCGTACTTAATGCTAAATAGGCCTCACCATAGCTCAAGCGGTTAGTCGCTGGCTTCCCACCGCGGCGGCACGGGTTCGAGCCCGGGTCTGGTCAAGTGGGATTTGTGGTGGACAAAGTGGCGGTGGGGCAGGGTTTATCCGAGTACTTCGGTTTCCCCTGCCAATCTTCATTCCACCAATTGCTCCACAATCACCCTCACCTATCATCTTGGGCTGGTACAATAGGCCAGAAGTGGCCGCAGTACAAGGGACTTAGCCCCATCCCACTAGCAATAAAAAAAATCTAAATAATTGATTGTGTTTCCTGTGCAACGTTTCCCATAGGCTTACACGCATTTTCTAGGATAGTGTTAATTAAACGGTATGTTTGTTCTTGAAGATCCGTGAAGGAAATGCTATGAGTAGTGCAGACTTCTGCGATGTGGCACCTCATCTGCCAGACGTCACTGCTTCAGATCCAATAGTTATCCCATCGCCTTGAGAACCACAAATTTCCTGTAAGACTCTCAGAATGTATAGTCATGTGGTTGCGCATTGGGATAGCTGTATTATAGTAACGGACTGTCAGTTAGATGCCGTGGGTTCGATTCCCAGGAGTGAGAGGGAATGTTGTCTTCACTGCCGCGTCCAGACCGCCTTTTGGACTGATCCAGCAA